ATTATTATTATTATTATTATTGTTATTATTATTAATATTAATATTAATCATTCCTACTGCAACTCGTCTCTTTCTGTTTCAGCAACGGTGCATTTTCGAAGGTCAACTTCTGTTTTGCGGGACAGCAAAGGATCCGTACGTCGCTGCTGTTCCCGAGTGACCACTGGGCAGTGCTGGCGCGCTTCAATTGATCTTGATAAATTCGAATCGAATGTGAGGCTCAAAAAATTGTGCTACTAATTTCGCAATAAAAAAGATGCCGGCAGTGCGACGCTGAGTGAAAGCGGATTGCTTTAGTTTACCCATGAAAGACGTCAAAATTGTCAAGAACCCATTGAAAACGGACTAGCTGGCTCCGATAAATTCTGAATTCTTAAACAATGTGAACTGGATAATTCTTTATGCTTGCTGTTTACGCATAATTCACTAAAAGAATACCAGAGTTCACTGGGAAGTGTGGTATGGGTCGAGTCCAGAATATTACCGAAAGTGGAATTGACTCGGGAAAACCGGATTTGAAATTTAGAGAGACGTACTGCACCTTGGGCATATTGTTTTGCTGACGGTTATTAGAATTCCGATGTCTACCCTTGTTTGTGATCATGGGTATACCTGTGTACTGCATGTAAATCTATTGAATACATCGCAAAAATATAACTTTCAGAATCGTCAAAGCGTGAATTTGTTAAAAATCGCTAGCTTTTTTCCACTGTGTTTTGTCAGCCGCTTGGATTTTCAACTGTTTATTGCACTGTGTTCAGTTCACTTTTCCCTTTTTCCCAGTTGATTTGGATCTCTTTCATTTATGAGGTTTTAGCGATGCCTTAGTTCTACGAGTTGTATCATACGTGTTCTGAGACTCAATTCTTCATTTCCCGCTCTCGCTAGCGTCGTTCTAAAATACGTTTGAATTTTTCTCTGTGAAAATGTTAGATGTATCTGCTCTTTAATTAGTGGTGAACCTGCCTATTTTTCATACCAGTTGCGCATGTGAAAAAACAAAAAAAAAAAGCGTAGTTGTGGAAATTTTGTTTGGAAATCGACTGATTTTGAGCGAGAAAAGAGGTGGGACAAGTCCACCCTGAATTGGCGAACAATGAGCCACGGGGTATATGTGGATTTTTGCGTTTTTGAAGTAGAGGTGAGTTTGGTCAGGAGATTTCAGATTTGAAGGAGCGTGTGTTGCTCCGTTAGGGCTCTCTTCTCTATATCTGTTCAGTATTTTTAGTTTCTAGTTAAAAATCATCACTGCTTTACGGCGTCTGATTTTGATCAGAATTTTTGCGTTTTTGTTTTATAGCATGCTAATTTGATGATTGCTTTTGTGTGAGAATGACATGTGTTGAACAATTGTCGTCTCACCAAAAAATGCCCCATTCAAGTGCGCATAAATTTTGCTTCTGGTGGGCAACATATCCCTGTTTTGGCCAAAAGTTATTGCGAATTCCCCCTTCTTCCGAGGCAGAATTTCTGTGCCTCTGCAATTTTCCCCACTTTTTTCGCTGCTTCTCTGAAGACTGATTGTGAGGTGGACATGAGCAGTGGTTTTGGAAATTTATTTCCGATTACTTTGGTCTCACTGTTGTTCACATTGCTTTTCCACTAATAAACCATTTAGTATGTTTTCGAATTGTTCTGAATTAAGTCGCTGGTGAAACAGACTAGTGGGTAGGGTATAATATGAGCATATCACAGCGTATTGCGTTTGTTCTTTTAAAGCTGTTGGTATATGTAAAAAGTGGCCTTCTGATTTGTAATGACGTGGAAAATTGATGAATTATGGTGGGTAGCTCGAGTAAACGCTCGATCGATGCTTGTAACTCTATGTTGTTCATCCTTGGTAGATTGAGGATTTGAATCATAGCCTAGTTACGAATTGGACGGGACCGGCGTGAAATCCACTGTACTGATCGTATTTTTGCTAGTTTGTACGATCAGGCCTTCACTCGGAACTGTGTTAGATGAGGGGCATGGAACATTTGCTACATACATTCTACGGCAAAAGAAGTAACTTTTGGTATACAAAGTCAGCTGAGAATTTTGTTAGATTAATCCACCGAAGAGTTTGCGATGCAAAAACAAAAATTCATTCCTCGGGTTTTACTCTGCCCTGACCCACGACTTCAAGTCCACCTGTAGAACGGCTTCATAACTTTTAACTTCTGGGCCTTACAGCTTCTAGCTCTCGCAACATCTTGTATCAAACACACATCATCTCAGCTCGCTGCTATTCTTCAGTGAGTCGTGCTGTTCATCAAGTCTGCCAAACCGATGGTTGTAGTACGCTTCATTTGTTTGTTTAATGACACTTCTGCTATATAGAAGTATCAGCGCAGTCCCGGATTTTAGCTTTTACTCGCGTTTAACTGTCCTCATTTTTAGTCCGGAAAACTGCCTTGTTAACAAAAATTCTCGAATTTATTCGAAAAAGTGAGGGCTGGGGGCTGAGCTGGCGGCTGCAAGAGGGAGATGCACGCAACTCGCATTTGGTATCTCCATGATTTAATGAATTCTTGCACCATTAATGAAATACAGTAGCACATATTGCCGAGAGGTGCACGTTGTTTGTGCTTTTGTGTATGTGTGTATCCAATTTTTTTCCATTTTATCAGAGGAGTTAGGAAGCTGTGATTTTACTGCCCCGAAAATGTAAAATCGACCGTCATGTACACTGTGTCTTACGTAAGAACGTCTGAAAATCAAAACTAAAATGGTTTTGGGAACCAAATAAGACAGAAAGCTAAAATTTTAAGAGGATATTCTCTAATCATGTGTAATCCGAAGATTGTAAATTCACGTACCTCCATGTCATGTTTACGAACTCGTTAAAGATATTTTTGGCTAGCAGCAACTCTGGGAACCAGTAAAGCCAAGAAGCTGAAATTTGATAAGGATGTTTTCTAATCATGTGAGAACATCATTATTAAATTTATCTTTGAAATTAGTCACTGCAAACAAGGGTGCAGCGCAGTAGATTTTGCTCAGAACCTATAACAGTGTGGCAGATATTTGAAAAAATTTTTGAAGCAGAAGTAAGGAAGTTGTCAGTTTTGAGAAAAATCTGACGATTTTATAAGTTTTTGCAATAAATACGAAAAACAAATTCTGAGAATTTTTTGTCCAAAGCCAAAATGAAGGCTAAAATGTGAACTCCGTCGCCTTCGATTTTGGTAATAGCTGTTGAAAACAGAACAGCGATTAAAGCGCTGTTTTTTAATCGGGCGCTGAGAGCAGCTGAAGGACAATGAAATTCAGGCATTTCTTCCTCTGCGCCTAACTTAACATCATCATCAACAAAAGCTGTCACATTTTGGCAGCGACTTGATTCGGTCCATTAGTTAATGGAACGGGTAAGTGACATGGAATGGGGTCCGAATGCTGTTGGCTTCCGTAACACATCAGTAGTTCATGCGGGAAATCCATGCGGGTGGTGTACTGAATACGGGTTTTAAATTCAAAAATGCCAAAAGGAGCAGTGCTGTGCGAACATATTACAGTGCAGCTGCGCAAACACGGAAACTATGATTTTGGGCATAGTGTTGTCTTATCTGCTAGGCCATGGTACACGACACTGGCAGCGAGTTTTATGTTAGTATTGTCATGGATAAGCCGTCATCTGATGCTAAAATTCGAGATTGCGATGACCCGTCCAGGTGGTTGTCAGTACTTCTCTTTCTCTCTTTCTCACTGAACTGCTGTAGAGGAAGCTGGACATGGCTTGTCTTCTCTGCCAATATCAGCCTCTTTCAAGTGCGTTTTTGAAGCAAGAAAAAAGACACTTGCATCTGCAGCATGCTTCTCAGATACCACTGGAATAGCTGACGAAGAAGATGAAATAAACTGCTCCTTGTCGATCCACCGAGCTTTTCTCCGCAGTTCACGCTTATTACAGTAGATACAGATGTCATATGGCGAAACACCAGTAGGAGGTGTGACCGAGCGATTCGATTGCTGGTTGACCAAACAACGCTGCATGAATGGACTCATGGATGGACCGATCGGGCGCATGTTTGTTAGTATTTGACGTGTCTGTATGTGTGTGTGTGTGTGTTTGTGTAAATAATGATCATTCAAATAGTAGTTTTAGCAAGTGCTGTTTGTATCTGCTGCTGCTGTCGGGCTCCAGACCGAACTGGACCGACCGAGCCAGGACCGGGTTGAGCAAGCAAGCGCACTACGGCTCTGGCTGTCTCAATGTTTGTCCACTGAGCAACGGGCGCCCCGCCGGATGCTGCTTTCACGCTCGCTTGCTTTACAGTTGTGGATGGAGGATGGAGCTGGATGAATGCGGTTCAACGAACGAACGAACAGCACTACACGACGAGTAACTAGCGGCGGTTGATCGCTTCAACAAGAGTGGGTACTACTTGGTTACGCACCTCCCTCCCATCATCACACTAGCCATGTATTACGGTCATCCGCAGAGTGACCACGTACAGCAACTGGCGCGCCTCTTGGTCCTCGTCCATTTCATCTGTATTTTTCGCACTGCACTAGCACAGTGTCCACCACTGCAGACGCCACCGTGTCGATGTGCCCCATCCGTTTATGAGCCAATTGCAATCATCTGCGAGAATGCGTCCACGTTATCCAGCGTTTTGTTAGCGATATCACAAGCACGGAGTGTTACCGTAAGTCCGTTTCTTTCACCTCTCTCCCCAGCCCCTCTCTCAGACCGATTCTTTCACACTTATTCGAATCATCCCGCACAGATCTCTTTTCTTCGCAATAGATGAAGACTATGGAAGTAACAATAATTCCAGATTTTTTCCCCAAATAAAAGCTGGTTAACAGAACTGATCGCAACTGAACATCATTTTTAGAGTATGCATGCCACAGCTAAGCAAAAACCTACAAATGATACGGCTGCACAAAGCGAAATTTGTGGCTTAATAGTAACTCCAGATTTTCTTCCCTAGCAAATGGAGATTTAGAGAGACATTATGGTCAAGGTGAAAACTGCCTTCCGCTGATAACTGACAACTGCAGCGACGATGATAAAAGCAACAATTGTTATGGTGATAGCCACAACACAATATTTCAGATTGATTCACTGCACATAACAGATACCGTGATCCCAGTTTTACCACCTTACGCATTTCAAGAGTTCACAATTTTGCGCCTTGTCATGAACAGATGTAACCTGAATCGGATAGACGACAATGCATTTGCTGGGCCAAGCCTGGACAAGCTGGTGGTGCTCGACTTGTCGGATAACCAGCTGGGCGCGGTACCTGAGACTGGTGTTCCACGCCTGACTAATCTCAGGAAGCTCTATCTGAATCGCAATCGAATCACCCAGCTACAGCCAAATTCATTTGCGAATTATGAATCTCGAAATATACTGCTGAAGCTAGAACTAGCCGGAAATCGGCTTACTGATCAAGGCCTCGGCAATTCGCTGGTCTTTCGGCCTCTACGTTCCCTGCAGCAACTGAGCCTGGAAACCAACGCACTGAGCGTCATCCCATCTGCTTCTTTGGTCAACCAGCGGCACACCTTGACAAATCTAAACCTTGGCTTGAATCGAATTAATGAAGTCCCGGTTGGTGCGCTGGATTTTCCAAACCTCAGCTCGTTGTCTCTGGAATTCAATGGTATCTCCCAGATTGTTCCCCAGGCCTTCCAAGGAATTCCCAATCTGCAGTATTTGTATCTCACTGGCAACAAATTTCCTTCCTGGCAACCCGAAATGTTCACTTTTGTTCCCCAGTTACTGACACTTGGTATTGGCGAGACTCCAATTTCAGTGATTCCTTCGAATGCCTTCCAGGTAATTTTATTCTTTCTGGATTTCATTTTCTTTTTTTTTCTCCGATACACTTGCCGTGTCACTTTTGTGATCTGATTAAGGTTTGTCAGTCCGCGTCGTTTCCCACTTACTCTGCGCGCATCGACATTTCTCGTTTCCCATTACAAAAATTGAATCCCTCCGTGTTAGCATCGAAAATACATTGCAGTACATACCACAGCTGATACGATTGGAGATGTCTGAAGCAGCGGTTGATACAATTGAACGAGGTGCTTTCCAGCGAACGCCAAATATTCAAGCTATTGTGCTCAACAAGAATCGTCTCTCCACGTAAGCACAACACTGGTGAATTTAAGAGAAAGGGTGGAAGTGAAATTCAGCCATTTTGCTTTTTTAGAGCATTTTTATGCACTTCTGCATATATGCAAATGCAAAAACGCATATTGTGACGACCCCAATGGGTGTGTTTGTGCACCTGTCCGGGTATTTCAACTCGGCAACCAAGCAAGCTCCGGCGCTGAAATTTTGCTACCGAATTCCCCGGCAAATTGCCACCCCAGGTTAACGGTACCAACCCGCGCGCACGCCTGGGCCTCGCGCACTACCACGCCAAATTTTTGGCGGGAAAATCACTAACTCGGAAACCAGAAAAGCTAGGAGGTTGAAATTTTTAGGAGTATTCCCAGCTTAAGTGCAACTTTTCAAATTCAACTCCCATTTGAATGTTGTACTCATATACGACCCCATGAAAATTTTTGGCGAAAAAATCGTTACCTCGGAAACCACAAAGACTGGAAAGCTGAACTTTTGAGGGGATGTTCCCTGCTCACGTATAATTCAAAGATTTCAAACTCAGTCCCTAGACAAGCATGATTCTCATGTACAATCCCGTGAAAGTTCTTGGGGGGAAATTGCTAGCTCGGAAACCAGGAAATATGGAAAGCTGGAATTTTAACAGAATGTTCCCTTTTCACGTAACACGTGGTAGTTGTGCAGTTAAATTCCTGAATTTCGAGGCATAGACGGATCCAGGACGGACTCCTGGGACGAGGGGAGACAGAGGAGGGGGGGGGGGGGGGGGGGGGGG